CACATCCGAGATAGAGAAGAAGTTGCGAAACACACGATCACAAACCAAAACACATTCACAAACGAAACAGACCAAACCCTCGACCAGAGAAAATTCAGCCGCACAGAACAATACAAGAAAAAACTAACAATGATTAAAAACAACTAAAGCACACCTAAATTGTGTACGAAGCCCACAAAGCCACTCCAATCTTCTCCATTGTTGGATAAGTCAGAAGGAGATAAGTAGGGAGGCCGCCGCACTCTCCTAGAGTTTTTAATGTTTCTTATTACAATTTACAAATTGAAATTTTAATCATACAAAACTCTAAAAAATGTGAAACTGATTTTTGGACGAAATGAAATGTTTTATACTAATGTTTTTGTTGAATAAAAAAGGGAAAGTTCCCGAAATAGGACTAAAATAGTTTGATAATTCCAAAATAGGACTGACATGTTTTTTATTCCCGAAATAGGAGTAATTACTGTCAAGTTTGGAAAATATTGCCATCTTTGAAGTCTGGTACTGCCAAAACATAACATTAATTAGTCCTATTTTGGGAATAAAAACATGGGAGTCCTATTTTGGAATTTTCAAACCTTTTTAGTCCTATTTCGAGTAATATCTCAATAAAAAATCATTATTTATTGTCTATTTTAAAATATCGTGTTTATAATGCAAATTTCCAAATTTCGCCCCATTAAGAATATTTTCTGAATACGCCATTGGATGTCGCGTTTTTAATTCACTTTATGGATTTTAGACATATTCAAAGATATTAGATGTTAAATCCTATGGTCTAGTCTAGTTTTTAGAAATAATGCTCCAGATTTATTGTTATGTTTCGGCTAAAGGGTCAAATAGGTACATGAACTAACTTAAAATGTTCAATTAGCCCCTTATATAGGAGGTTCTGCCCGACCGTCGCCAATTCGAGCAGTTCCCGGTGGAATTTTTTGATGAAATTTTTTGAGCATCTTCTTCATTAAATATAGTTTACCCATACCAAATTTCAGCTAAAAATTCAACTGGGAAGGCAGTCAAATGATTTTTTGAAGATAACTGCGCAGTTAAACAACGCAGTACATTTCGGAAAATCATTTGACTGCCTTTCCGATTTAATTTTTAGTTGAAATTTGATATGGGTAATGAAGAAGATGGTCAAAAAAATTCATCAAAAAATTCAAGCTGGAACCTCCCGATTGGCTATGGCCTAGCAGAACTTTGTATTTGATACTTTGTATACTAATCCACTGTCGATTCCTCTCAAACTCACGGATGAGGGCCACAGTTCAGAGAGTGGCATCTGCCAGTGTTGAAGTCCGTGTTATGCCCTGCGACCTCTCCTTCCCTAAGTCCCCTCTTACTCTCATCTCTAATTCTGGAACCGCTGTGCTAACCCGCGTAGCTATGGAAATTTGCAGGTGGATGGCCAACTTGTGTCGACTATTGGGCCGGGTCTCTTAGTCCTCATCGGAATTCATGAGTCGGACGTTGACGCCGATGCTGATTATATGTACGCGATCCAGATTTTCTCAGTAATTAGCAGTTCCGCAAGTACTGTTCATATCTTCATGTCCAGTATTCCAGAATTAATTTGTTTTAACTTGATTGTAATGACCAGATGCCGTAAAGTGCTGAACATGAGATTATTTCCTAACAAAGAGACTGGGAAAACATGGGATCAAAGTGTAATTATTTCTCTACCTCTTCTTTATCCGTTAATTATTCTATTCATTACCATCCGTAACTGTGTAAATATGTTTCAAGATTTATAAAATGCTCGTTGTGTCTAGCCGTAGGTTACTGAAGCAAAAAAAGCATCTTTGTCTGGTCATAATTCATATTCAGATATTTATTGTAGTGGATGTTAACTAGCATAAACTTTGCCCTCATTCCACTTGAAATCATTGTGTTGTTCTGTTTATGATGTACTCGACCCTGAACCTTAGGTCTGTCTGTGTTCATTTTGAAAAAGAACTCAATTATACTATGTGAGGAGTTTTGTATTCTGAGTAGAGTGATTGATGCCAACTTAAAATAATGTGACCTAGTTTTGGGGACGAGGGTTTTCAGGTGAGGGCCAGGGAACACCTCACCTAACAAAGCCATAAAGTCCTAATATTTACTTGTACAGTGTGGTGTATTGTTCTTACAACTTAATCGTGTTAGGGGAAAAAAACATTATGACAGAACCAGAGAACATTCACTTATCTTAAAGGAGATGCCATACAAAAATATTACTTCAAAGAACCAGGGGCAGACTGTCAAATTACTGACCAATAACCGAGTAAACAATGGGACTCTAATGACCGTACATGACCGGAAGCATCACTATAATCTACAGAAAAACTGCAGTTTGGGTTCTTCGATGCGGTATATTCATAAACCAAAATATACACAACCTTCTATAGATTCTTGAATCTTGATGCATAAAAAAAAACAAAAAATCAATCAGAATATGAACTTCAAAGATGCATCATTTCTAAAAATTTAAGAGCTTAATACCTAGATACAAGTACATAAAACGATCAATCAGAACATGAACTTCAAAGATGCTTACATGCATCAGTAAAGCATAGTAATAGTCAAATCCAAAGAATCTGCAGAAAGAATCTGTAGATGATATGAAAATACAAAATAACTCTCATTTCAAAATTACAAGAGGTACCGGAATGGACTGACAATCAATAACTCAATAAATGATCTAAAAACTGAAAAAAGAGAAGTGTTTTCAGAGGGGCTCATGATTTCGAGAGATTGTAGATTCACTATTACATTTGTAAGAGGGATTCATGTCCACTGACCTATTCAGAATTTAACAGCAGTTGGTGAAGGCATGGAGGCGTGGACCACCTAAGATAGAAGAAAGTGAGGAAAAACAGAGTGAAGAACTGACAAAAGGAAGAACCCCTGGAAGAAGGTGTGAAGGCATAAAATGGATTGAATGAGGCATCGAAGGAAGAGCCCTACGAATAAGAAAGTGGAGTAGTGAAGGCGGTTAAGTACTGAAGTATAACAATTGGGGTTGTCACGGGGATGCGTCTACTTTATGCCCATGGGGTATAATATATGTGAGTTAGGGTTGGTTATCGGTACCGACCGAAACCAGCAATAAAAATTGACTTGTAACTGAATAACTAATACATTGTATTATGTGATAACCAACAACTGACCGGAAATGATATTTTGATTGGAAAGGTCATCAATTATTACTCAGAATATACAAGTTTTTGAAGCTAATAGACATGGTTTGGTAACTTGGTTTTTATGAGGTTTGTTTATTTGATAGTTTTGTTTATTTGATGGTATTGTTTGATGCTCCAGTCAAAGCGTAGCTACTTTGTATCATTAGCAACGAAAATTGAAGTTAAAAACCAAAGTATTCTATAAAAGTATGGTCTGATTCTATGCACTTTAGTCACTTCCTCCTATTACTCCTTTCATTCAGAACCCCTTTAAAGTTCCAAGATGGTAGCTTATTGGAGATCTTTTGCACTTCTGGAGATCATTGTTACTTAAGGCACTTCCTAAAATGTATGTTTTTGTTAATTGTTTGGTTATAAAACTAATAGCATGAAGGTGCATATGTTTTCAATGGCAGGTTCTTCAGAAGAATTATGAAATTCTATTAGGTATTTCCTTCGGTCTTTCTATTTTTTGTTAATGATTAGGGATCATCATCAAATGGTTTAAATTTCATGTCAATATGGCTTGTGCAGTGAGTCAATTTACATTATATGGGATTTTGAAGGGAAATAAGCCAGACTTTCATGTAGCAATGCCTCCTGATAAAGCAAAACCCTTCTATGAAGCGGTGTTGGAAAAGTTCAGAGTAGCTTACAAACCAGATGCTGTCAAAGGTATCTCTCTCCCCTTTTGTTTAGTCAATGTAATATTGTAATGTTTGATGAGCTGGAATGCAACACAAAGTAAAGTATTCAAATATTTTTTTAGTGTAAATTTATGTTACACATACATTTGGATAAATTACATTGCGTTTCATAATGTCTTACCTCACTTCATCTAAGTAATCAGCATGGTTCCTTCCCATATGAGAATCCATTATGCTTGTGTGTAGTACATGACATTTGTCACACTTGGTCTTTAACTTGTGGCTGTTTTTTAGTAGTACTTGACTTGGTTCCTATTTTTGATCTTTCTCTTACCAGTTTAAAATGGTTTTATATCAAACAGATGGCATATTTGGCGCTATGATGAAGGTGAGGTTCCGATCTTATAGAATTGAGGTTCTACTCTATGCATAATCAAATTTTGATTATAACAGTTTGATGAACTGTGGTTGTTTTTGTTGAAAGGTGAACTTGGTTAATGATGGTCCTGTTACAATGCAAATTGAGTCACCCCAGCAGACAAAATGAATGCATAAATGGCATGGAACTTCTTCACAAGAGATTCTTGACGTGTTCATCCATCTTATTATGTTTTTATGTAATTCTGCAATATTTGTTTGTCTCTGAGGAAATTTTCGTTGTACTGACCAAGAAGTCAAAGAGAAACAAACTCAAAAGTTGTAGTCTTTATCATTTTTTGCAGTTGGTCTGACTACCACTAATATAACGACGCTAATTAGCTTCAATCAAGGTTATCAAGTCTTGAGGATATAATCGATGGTCGACTGGTAGGATAAACTTATTTTTCTGGAGTATTTAAACCATTTATTAAATAACTTATTGAACATACTGTATAAGCTGAGCTTATAACAATAGAGCTTATTAAGCTCTATTGTGATAAGCTCTTACTAGCAATTAGATTCTGATAAGTTATACAGATTATGACTGCGTATAAACTCCGACGAGCAATTAGATCCTTATAAGGTACACATCTGGTATAAATTGGTCTGCTCGTTGAGCCACCGATTGGCACTATCTCACAGGCATATGAAGTCATCCATATTTGGTGAATACAAACTAAAAGGCCCTGAGCTATTATACTTCCTCTTAATAGTTATCATCCCAGTCCTCGATCAAGTCTAAATAAATTTAAGCAAGAAAGAGAATGAAGAAACGCATGCAATAGAGTGTCTCATATATATGTTTATAGTATTCGATCATTCTAAACTCAAATACATCAGCAACAAAGAGATAATCAATCATTGAATATAGAAATGAGGTTGCTGGGCTAATCAAATAATTACTTCGTAATTAGTTAACCCACCAGGCTCCTATATAGGAAACTTAACACACCCAATATATAAGAAAACATAACACATCCACAAAATCCCAAACATATAGAGTAATTAATTAATTACTCTTACCAAGAACCGCTACGATACCTTGATCCATTAGTATTATTGCTAGCTCTACACCTCGTTAATTCTCGGTAACGAGCCGTACATAGCAAGATCATCATCATCACCTTTCGGGGGCATGATCGGAAGGTTTGTTGGAAATACGAACAATTGATCTTGATCATGCTTATTAGAAACTCTTCGAAAGCTTGCTCCGGCGAAGTCATGGCTATCCGGTCGCTGGCTGATTGGATTGTAGGGAGGATGATACAGTACCGGAACTGGTTCCGGATCATTCGGACGATAAATTGGGGTTTGCTTATTATTATTTAAACAATAAGGTCTAAACATAGGATTATACATCATTAGATCATATTGTCTCAACTGATCACGATTAGGGTTAGACCGGTTGGTATTAACAGTCATATGGTTTTCTCGGAGTTGACCTTGATGTTGACCTCGAGATATAGTCCTTGAATGCGGTAAGATGTGAATATTATCGGTACCTCCCGAAGATGACGGCGACGGAGGCGGCAGCTGTGGCGGCGGAAGGGAAAAAATTTGAAGTGCGTTGTTTCTGAGCTGCAACAGTTGCGTCTTCAAGTCCTGGTTCTCTCGCTGTAACTGGTTGAACCGGCCGAGCGGACCGTGAACCGGGTCCTCCGCCCAAGCCCGGGCCTCCCACGTGAAAGACTTGGTGGCTTCGTGCCGTTCTTCGTGGCTCCGGAGCTGCCGAAGCATTCTTGACATGTTCGCTATGCCGAAAACTCTGTGAACCGCTAGGAACTCCCGCATCCGGTCCGACCGGAAGTGGGGCCATAGAACGCAATTCTCGGGTTTGCATTTTTTCCTTTGGTGCTTGCATGCAGCGCATGCTGGAGCGTTTCTTCCTCCCTCGTCGTCGTTCTCCATTCTTTTATTTTGGTGCTGTAAAAATATTTACAGAAATAATCGACGGCTTAAATATGGGGAGGCCATAACGAATTTAAACCATGCGATTCCTGAGGAAGTATATTAAAATAAAGGAGGAGATGGAGATTAGAAGGAGTATTCAAATCGGAGTGCAATTTGGAAGGAGGCGGTCGAAGTTAATAATAGGGTTTCTTTCGCTTAATTTCCCACGCTTTTGTCTCGGGGCAATTGAGCAATTCCCTATATAGGTAATTTGAAGATAAATTTGTAAAAATAGGAGTATAAAGTTTAAACTTATAAAGTACAAGTGAACCTTTCTATCTTACCTTCGATATCCGTTGTCATGTTTTATGATGTTTTTTTGGATTGAAATTTACTGGTCTGGTCTGGTCTGATCTGAACTATTCCGGTCTGATTTGGTCTGAACTAGTCTGGTCTGTTAAACGCTAGGTCTCTGTGTATTTTATAACTACGAAAGTCTGGTCTGGTCTGGGACTGAAAACAGTTCAAAAGAAAACATCCTTAATAAATTTTTTAATATTAATAAAAAACTTGTCATAAAAAGGAGCAAAAATATTTTGAAATTCTAAAATAGGACTTTTATGTTTTTATTCCCAAAATTTAAGTAATTACTGTCATGTTTTGATAATACCAGGCTTTAAACATGACAATTCTATTTTGATATTCCAAAATATTTTTACTCTTATTTCTAAAATAAATCATAAAATAAATAAAATGAAAAAATATGAAAATATACCAACCTTTGCCATTACCTCAACCACTTGCCTACACTGCCACATTCGTTTTCCGGAAAAATGTCAGAATACAAAAGAAATCATCTTAATAATTAATGGTAGTTTTGAAAGCAAAATTTGATATTTTAAAGAGTAAAAATGTCATATTCATGACATTTGAAAGAAAGGTGTAATTTATTACTATCCCTGTCCTTAATAAAACTTCCAAATGGGTTGGACACACAGTTTAAGATAGTGGGTATTGTGTGGTGAACAGTTGTGCAGAGGAGAAAGAAATGTGTAAGAATTGTTGTGAATCACAAATTCTTTACCAAAAAGGAAAAGTCAAAGTTTTAATTGGGACGGACGAAAAAGGGAAGTTGGAAGTTTATTTAGGGACGGAGGGAGTATGTAAGATGACATTTTCTTAATGAGAATATCACACAAAATAGGACTAAAAAGGTTTGAAAATTCTCAAATAGGACTAATTACTGTCATTTTTTGGCAGTACCAGACTTCAAACATGACAGTATTTTCCGAACTTGGCAGTAATTACTCCTATTTTGGTAATAAAAAACATGACAATCTTATTTTAGAATATTCAAACTGTTTTAATCCTATTTCGGGAACTTTCCCAGAATAAACATCGGTTGGGGTGATGGTGTTGGGAAGCTCAAGATGCGGCAGAAGATGCCTAAATATTTTTAATACTTTTACCTATTCGAGTTTTGTTTTCGTTTCATTATTTTTTTTAATTTAATTTTACTGTTTTAAATTTTATTAAAAATTAAAAAGAAGTATGACAAGTAAAATTATGATTTTACTATAATAAAATATGTTTCTTTGGGGATCACGTACTTAGAATGAGTTGAAGAATATGCACTCAAGGCTAGGCCCATTTATAGAATGCACTCAGACACTCAGTGGACAGTGATCCCTAACATTATTCGACCTAGCTAATTTGTATTCACGTTAGATTATCTAAGAATGATTTAACTATTGTGTCTAATATGTAATATTATTTGATATTTACAAAAGCAAGTACTAATTATCTAATAATGATGAATTCAACTTCTTTAGTTTTGGAAAAAAATGTCATAAACCATTTAGTGAAGTGTGATACTCTATGTTAAAATCAACCTTTTTGATATTGTCTAAAAAAATCAACCTATAACTAATACTACATTGTACAACTAAGAGTGGGACCCAGTGCGAAGCACCTATTGCGCCTCCTAAAAGACGGCTCTGTTTAAGCTGGGTCTGGTCTAATTAATATGAACTGGTTTGACAGGTGTATTATGTATATCTGTTCTACGCGTATTTGACTATTATTGAAGTCTGATCTGATCTGACCAAGGATTAAACTCAATCCAATTAAAAGCATTCTATGTTTCATTGGTCTCTAAAATAAGTAAAAAAGAAAAACTCTTAGGCAGTGTCTGGTTCAAGGTGATATCTTATACAGGGCGGAATCTCATGCCCGGAATGTGAGATACCTGTGTTTGGTTCGCGAGTTTGATTTTTTCGGAATGTTACATTCCCAAAAGTGGAAAAGGTGAACACATGAATGGGCATGTGAAACCCACTAGAGCCTTAGGTTATGTTAGATTCCTTGTGGCTTATTAATAAATTCCCATGCTTCATTAATCTAATACAAGTTCTTAACTTCTGATATATCACTCTTCATTTTGTAATTTTTAAAATTATATTGTATTTTTTTGATTATAGTTCCTTGAAATTATTTATACAATTATACTATATATTGTAAGCTAATACTATATTTTTTCACTAATCTTTATCATTTATGCAATTAAACATATTTTGCTTAAAATTATTTACTAATGTTCACTAATCTTAGTCATTTTTGCAATTAAATACATTTTGCTTAGAATTCATTCAATTAGTTTTATTTTAATTATTACTAAGATGTTTTATTTTTCTATAGTTTTTAATTACTTTAATTATAGGTTGTGATAAGTTTAATGTGTTAAGAGAGAAATATTTAAAGGGCATTCAAGTAATTCATCAAATATGCAATATAAGATATCATTCAACCAAACAACTTAATGTGACATTCCCTTAACTGTAACCAAACACAAATGTGTTATACATTAATCACATTCTCATCTATCAAACATACCCAATAATCTAACATTCCGATGATAATCTGATATTCCTTGTCTATATGTTTGTACATGATGCCTTCTTGTAATTAGGAGTCGATCCATTACTTGGCATGTCGAAGGCACCAGTGTACTAGATTCAATATAATTAGTTCCTCGTTATCAATGTCCAATTCCCAATGGTGTTAGTTCCATTCTCACCTACGTTACTCTTCATCGGTGCATCCAGTGTCCATGACCATCGACTAATTAAGTGGAGAAATTAAGGATAATAATATGACGACTAGTTGTACAAGTTCCAAAAAGGTGATTAAGAAGACTAGTATACCCTTAATAATATTACACACAATGCCCTAATAGTCAATTTTGTGGTGACTTTGACCCTAGTGATCAATGCTCCATTGATTCGATCTGATGCCCCAGTGACCGATGAACCCAATTATATTAAGATCCAATGATTATTAAATATTGAAGCGGAATAATTGCAATTTTAGTCTCATATCTTTCGATTGTACTCGTTATTCATTCCGTAACTTTACTCGGTTGCAGATTTGGTCCTGTAACTAATGGATATTTGCGATTTAAGGACTTTCACAATACAACAAAGTACACTATAATTTCTGGTTGTAGATTCGGCCGGCCTCAAACTTTCTTCTAGAAAGTATACATTCTAGTGGAAAAGTCTTTAAATTGCAAAGTATCTATTGTTTTTTTAAATTGTAGTATCATTGTAGTACAATATTAGGGATTTTGTCCTAACGGCCAATTTCTTAGTGCAATATTATTAGGGACAATTACTTGATCATTACGGGTATTTAAGTATATTGACCATGACAATTAAATAATGGAAATTGTAGTACAATATTAGGGATTTTGTTCTCCAACATGAATACTACACACTACGTACATATAAAAGTTACTTCTATTTGTTGTCCAATATTTACTTAAAGTCGTTCTAATTATAATTATAGTATGTACGAAGTATACAATCTAACGTAACTCAGCCTGTTTGCTTCGATTATTTAGTAAAACCTAGGTATTTAGATATATGCAGTGGCGGAGCCAGAGATTTTTCGAAAGAGGGGCGTACCGAAGGTTAAGAATTATTGTGTAATTGCTCAAAATGTAATAAAACAATAAAAGCGTAATATGTATAATCTCGGTAAATCAATCATATATAGTTTATTACATATTGTTTGACTCGTATCTATAATTTGGGTAAATCAATCATACGAGTTTTAATTTATTCAAAATGTTGTATGATAACTTCATGTTGGAAAAACACGACTCATAATACAAAGACTCAATCTGACAAAATCATTTTCTATTACCCACATTCACTCTTTGTATTTGGGAATATTATACTTTACCTAACTCGATCATGATCACATACACTTCATCAAGTGATATTTTTGTGTCTTCTTTCACAAGGAGGCTCTCACTTTCCTCTCTCAAGGAGACTCTCACTTTCAATCACTCAAGAGCTCTCTTCAAGGTTCTCATAGAAATAGGAAACTTCTCTAAAGCTTCTCTTTGTTCTAAAGATTTTCGCACACTTCCACACGATTTTAGTGAGTTCCACACTTCTCTAAAAAACTCCACATTATTATTCTAGAACATTCAATACTTATCTACACACATATAGAGAATCTTAGACATCTTTGTAAGATTGTAAATTATAAAATTCTCGTTAATTTCTCCACTAAGGAGGGAATCCAACACAGTCTCGAGAATATCCTGATCTTTTCATTGCAAGAAATGTGACAACATATTCATCAAACTCAATACTTTCTTGCTCAATATAACCACGAAAAGCCAACAGTGTGTAATTAAAGGTCTAAAAAAATGCACACTTGCATTCAAATGAGTGTGGTATGTACTTGTATTCCTAGAGATACGTACATTTCCTGAAAGTCTTTACCTTTTATTATAACACTTAATCTAAAATTAATCTTAATTGGTATTGATTTTTGAAAAGAAGAAGGGATGCATTAAATATACTCAGTATTATTATAAGTAGTAGTACTAATTGTTTTTGCCCGAAGCGGGGGCGCTTGCCCCCTCATGCCCCTCCCTAGCTCCTCCACTGGATATATGATATTGTTGGCATGTTTCCTTTTAATTACTAGTATGTTTCATAATATTCTTAGGATTAAGGCTTGTACTTAAATGAATATACCCTCTGGGCTATGAAAGATACAAGCTAA